CAGGCCCTGGGCTCGCAGCCCCTCCCTTCTCCACACTGCATGGGACCTTTCCCCTGTCAGCTGGGACCCATTCCTGCCCCAGGTGGCTGCTGGCCCCACGCAGGCCCTTGGGGCGAGCCTGGCCCAGCCCCTGCACCAGTACAAAGGGGGCTGGAGCCATTACCTGCGTGACACCAGCTTTTAGTGCCTTTCAAACGGGGCCGCGCACACGGCCGGGGCGCTGACTGCACCAGGCTGCAACTAGCACCCTGAGCTGCAGGCCCCCTGTGTCCATTTTAGTCCGTCAGCCCTGGGGCCACAGCACCTGCACACGTCCGAGGGGCAGGGCTGCTCCGGGCCCTTCCGCCGCAGTCTGTCTGCACTCCAGGCCCCATGTGGGCCCCGCGCTCCCTGGGGGGCCCGGGGAGGAAAGGCCCCTGGTGAAGCCGGGCCCAGGCCTGGCTCAGGAAGGCAGGTGTTTGGCCCTGAGTGGCAGCATGGGCTGACCCCCACGCCCCATGGGGTGGGGGCTCACTGACCCCACAGCCAGGGCCAGGCCTCCCACCCCCCGGCGAGGAACCCGCCCACAACCTGCATGGCTGCTGCGGCCCCCAGCCGGGCGGACTGCCCCTGCGGGTTTCTTGGCCCCTGAGCGGGGGACGAGATGTTCTCCGGGGCTGGACTCCAGCTCTGCCTGCCCCATGCCGCAGGGTCCTCTAGAATCCAAGGGGCCGGCCTCCTTTGGGGCCCCTCGCCCCACGAGCCAGCATGGGCGGCTGCCAGCTCCCACGCGGCGGTCACCGGGTCCTGCGAGGGCTAGATGCTCGTGCACGCCTCTTCCCCCAGCGCCTGGCTGCTGCTGCTTCCTGGGACCAGAGCAGAGACAGCCATGACCCCCCCGTCGGCCCCACGGGCTGGGGGCTTCCACGTCTGGTGCCCCACGGCACACGCGGGAAAGGGCTTAGCCACGTTCCATCTCTAGGACCCAAAAGCACTTACAATTGGGGAAACTGAGGTACGGGAAGGGCAGGGGTTTGCTGCACCAGGCCTGGCTCCTCCCCAGGGAGGCCAGGCCAGCTTTGCTCTCCCTCGGGCCTGCTTATGTGGCAGCTGGGGCCCTTCTTCCCAAGCACACACGGGGCCAGCCAGGCCTCTGCGCTCCAGGGCCAGCTAAGGGCCGGGGGGGGGGGGGGTGTCCTTGGCTGGTCAGAGCTCCCAGCCAGGAGAGTTAAAAGCCAAAAGCCCAGGACTCAGCAGATCCAAGGGACTCCCCCCCCCAACTCACACGGGCAGGGCTGTGGTGGGCCCAGGCCCACCCCCCACCAGGCCCCAGGGGCAGGCTCCGCTACTTACTGAGCCAGGGAGCCCGCAGACGCCCGGTCACGTGCTGCCCAGCTGTGGCCGAGGGGGCGGGGCTGCCAGAGAGCACAAGGCAGAGATGTGCCAAACAGGCAGGGCCCTCATGCCCCTGCCAGGCACCCCCAGCGGCTCACCTGGAGAGCAGGGGAGCGGGGGCACCTCTGGGCTGCTGGGGAGGCCAGATGGGGCAGCACGGAGATTCCAGGGGGTGCTGGAGACAGGCACTACCTGCCTGCAGCCATCCCCGGCGCCCCAGCCAGGTCCCAGAACGCCCCCTTGCCCGGTCAGTCATCTCCTGGGGGCTGGGACCAGCAGCTGCACAGGCAGGGGCACAGCTGGGGCAGCTGGAGCGGGGGCACCTCTGGGCTGCTGGGGAGGCCAGATGGGGCAGCACGGAGATTCCAGGGGGTGCTGGAGACAGGCACTACCTGCCTGCAGCCATCCCCGGCGCCCCAGCCAGGTCCCAGAACGCCCCCTTGCCCGGTCAGTCATCTCCTGGGGGCTGGGACCAGCAGCTGCACAGGCAGGGGCACAGCTGGGGCAGCTCCTTGCGACCGGGGCGCGGGGGTGGGGGGGGAGCCGGTGTCCTCCCACGCAGGCAGCCAAGGGGCTAACCGAGGGCAGGGCCATGCAGCAGGGAGCCACGGGGTGGGAGCCCCCCAGAGCCATGCCAGCAGCCGAGTGGGAACAGAGCCTGTCCTGCTGGCTCCCAGGGTGCCAAGGGCCCTGGCCCAGCTGCCCACAGTACCTGACGCCGTGGGCCTGGCTCCCAGAAGCTTCGTCTGGCTGGTGGGGACCATCTTCAGCTCCAGGCTGTCAGGTGCCTGGGGCGCCAGCTGCGCCCTGGAGGCCATGAGGGCGTTGAGGTACTGCAGCCGGGTCACCTGGGGAGGGGTGAGCCAGAGCCCTGAGCACGTGGGCCTGTGTGCCGGCGCCCTCCCCACACGGATCCTGCCCCCCGAGGGCCAGGCTGGGTAAAGGCCACTGGGGAGAGACACCCCCAAGGGGCGGGGCAGGTGGGAGCAGTGGAGCATCCTCAAGGAGCAGGGGCTGCCCCAAAGCAAAGACCCCCCCCCAGGGAAGCGCCCCAGCCCTGGCCCTCCCAGAGTGGGGTCACTGAGCCCAGCATCCCGGGGGAACCGGCCCTGCAGCCCTGCTGCCCGGGGGCAGGGTGGTGCTGCCCCCCCATTCACACCCAGTGGGGCAGAGCAGCGGTGGCTACAATCGCACCTCCCAGCCGCTGGCTCAGAGCACACGGGGCTCGTCCGCAGGCCCAAGCCCCACACGCTCGCCCGGCAGCCAGCCCGGCCGGGGCACGTACCTTGATGAGCTGCAGGTCGGTGAGCGCCCGCACGGTGTAGTCGGGGCAGTAGGTGGAGTAGGCGGGGCTCTCGCTGCAGTCCTGAGGCTGGTCCCGCCGGCTCGGCCGCAGGGTGGACACTGGCGACTGGTGAACTGGGGGGAGGCAGAAGCCAGTGGGCCAAGCAGCCAGCGGGGAGCCCAACCCCCGCAGCCCCCAGCCAGCAATCCTGGCCCAGCCTGGTCCCCCAGCTAGGCCAGGAGCCATGCGGAGCCCGGGGCCTGGAGTCCCCGCATCTTTCCAGCCAGGGGGGTGCACTTAGCACAGCTCAGCCGGGGACTCTCAGGGACATGGGGGCTCACCCGAGGAGGGCGCCGTCAGCGCTGCGACGCCGTAGTACGTGAATGCTCCGTTCTCGAACCTCAACCCCTCCTTCCCGATCTCCACTTCCACCCTGCCCTGCGGAGGAGAGGCCCCGGGTCAGGTCGGCTCAGCGGAGCCCCCCCCATGCTGCATTCTCTGGTCACTGGGTGGGCAGACACCTTGGCGTGCTGCCAGCACAGCCGCCCGAGATCCCGCGCGCTTGCAAACCCGGCGTCAGCCCGTACGCCAGCTGGGGCCCTGCGGGGGTGGGGAGCCAGGCCAGAGCCCAGTGGCTCGGCGCTGGGGTGACGGGGGCAGGCCCAGGAGGCGCCGGTACCTGCAGGACCAGGACGAAGTAGTTGACCGGCTGGTTGCGCTGGTACAAGAAGTGCTCGGGCGCCAGGCGGTCGCTCTCGTTGAATTTCACCTCCTGGTTGACGCTGGGGTGCTTCAGCAGGTGCAGCAAGACCTTCTCGGAAACGCGGGCCGGGCTGAACAGATCCACCTCTGATGGGGAGCGAGCGGCAGAGAATCCAGCCTCAGCCGGGGCGGGCGCTGCATCCGAGCCGCTCCCGGGACACGGGACTTTGGGTTCCCCTGCCCCGAGCCCAGCAGGCCCATAGGGAGAGCCCAGACCCCTCTCCTGCCGCAGGAATTGCCAGCCAGAGCCCGGACGTACTGGCGCTGGGCGAGCCGGGCGCGGAGCCAGGGAGGGCTGGGCGCGGGCTGCCTGCCCACACTCACCTCGGGATAGGAAGCGCTGCGTGGCCAGCAGCAGCTGTGGGGAGATCTTCACCTTGTGCTCGTTGTCAGCCTCCTTGAACAAGGAGAAATCTTCCTTCCTGTGCTCCAGCAGGGTGCCCACGGGGGCTGGCTTCTTCCGCACCCTATTCTCCTCTGAGGCACAAGAGAAGGCAGCATAACCCTGGGGGGCCAGAGCCCTCCCGAGCAGCCACAAGCTGGCGGGTCAAAGCACAGGAAAGAGAGCTCGGCACCCCCTCACCCCCCCCACAGGGAAACTGAGGCACGGAGCAGGGGAGGACATGCTTCAAGTCATGCAGGAGCCACACTCCCTGTTCTCCCACTACTAGGGCCTCCCCCTTCAGCAGGCAGCCTGACACCCCCCACCCCCCGCTGGGAACAGCCCCAGGCGGCCTGGTGCACCAGCCCCCGACATGCTGGGGAGCAATGGGCCTGC